GGGGGGGGGGTGCTGTGCTGACACCCCCATCCCTGTGTCTCAGTAGAGTCTTGATGAAGTCGGTAAAAGCGACCTTGGCCGGAAGATCAAGGAGAGCGTGGAGGAAGCTGCCAAGACTGCCAAACAGTCGGCCGAGTCGGTGTCCAAAGGCGGGGAGAAGCTGGGCCGGACCGCCGCCTTCAGAGCCATCTCCCAGGTGGGTCGGGCTGGGGCTCACGGCCTGGCCTGCTCTGAGTCCGGGATCCGGAGTTCTCACTGCCGATCTCAGCCCTGGAGAGGGAGGGCCCGCTTGAGGCACCAGGATGGTGCTCCACTCCCTTCTGGGTGGCCTTGGACAAGTCACAGCCCCTAGGAAGCAGCAGGTTAATGCACGGAGAGCCTCTCAGCCACTAACACCCTTAGCTTGTGTCCGTAAGCCCGGGACCTGTTGTACTCAAGGCGACCTGAGGTCCTGATTCATTCTGAAATGACTGTTGAATCTTCCCACATGCTGGGCTCTCTTGCTACCCACAGGGGCCACTGGATAGAAAGTCCAAATTCCTGCTCCTGAGGTGTCTGGGGGACCCAGAGGGGGATGAGTTGTTCCTGAGCGACATGTGACAAGGGAACATACAGGGGAGGGGCCACGGGTGGAGGGGCAGCCCCTCCAGTGGGGAGGCGTGCACAGCCAGCTCAACACGGCCAGGGTCGCTGCAGCAAGGTTGGGGGAAATGAGGGGGGCGGCCAGAGAAAAGCGGGGTCCATCTGAAACAGCCCTGTGGTCCACGCAGGGAAGTCAGGCAGGGTACTCAGAGCCACATGACCTCGAGACCGGGGAAAGCTGGGGCCCTGGGTTGGAGTTCTCCGCGGACACTGTCCTGACTTGGGGCACAAACGCACAGGCCCCCGGCGGTGGTCCGCAGTGTCAGGAAGGTCCTGAGCGCCCACCCTGGGGCTGGCTGCTTTCCCCCAGGGGGTAGAGTCCGTGAAGAAGGAGATCGACGACAGCGTGCTGGGGCAGACCGGGCCCTATCGGAGGCCAGAGCGCCTCAGGAAGAGGAAGGAGTTTGCAGGAGAGAAGCTTAAGGAAGAGAAGGTGTTTGAGCCCAACGAGTAGGTAGCAGACTGGCCAGGGCCTGTGTCCCCCTTCCACACACACACACTGTGTTTGAGCGCCCCTGGAACGTTCCTGCCCAAGTCAGTTCGTTCTCGAGTGTCTGTTCTGCTCAAGAGTCCCTGCTCCCGTGTGAACGTGGGGGAGATGGTGGGTGGTGGGAAGGGGGGAGAGAAGGCAGGAGGCTGAGAGAGGAGGGCGGGCTGCCCAGGGGGACGGGGGCGCTGCCCGCGGGGACAGGAGGGCTGGGTGCCTGGGCCGGCACACAGGGGCCCGTGGCCACTGCTCACCGCTGCCCCATCTCCCCAGGGAGGCCCTGGGGGTCGTGCTGCACAAGGACTCCAAGTGGTACCAGCAGTGGAGAGACTTCAGGGACAACAACGTGGTATTTAATCGTGAGTGTTCACGTCTCGGACACTCGGCCGACAGCGTCGCCGTGACAGCAGACGCTTACTGAGTGCTCCCCGCGCACTGGGCACAAGCCAGACCCCCCGCTTTACAGAGGAGGAGACCGGGGTCAGAGAGGAGCAGCCACTCCCCAGGATCACCCAGCCAGTGAGCAGCAGAGCCCAGGCCGCCAGGCAGCCCTGCTCTCGAGGGCAGCCCGGTACATCTCCAGCTGGCGGGCAGGGGCCCTCCCCCAGGGGCTGAGTCACCGTCCTCGCGGTCGCGGAGCTGCCGCTGGCAGGAGGGCGGCCAGGCCGACCTGCCTCTCCGGTGGCTGGGCTGTGGGTGCCACCGTGAGAGGCTCCCTCACAGGGCAGGACAGGAGGCGCCGGTGGGCCTCCCAGGTGCCAGCCAGAGCACCGCCACGCCACACACCCTTGTCCCTTGTCCCGTGACGGTCACTAGAGGCCGGTTTCCTTGGTAGGGAGAGCCCCGCCCCTCAGCCCACCCCCGAGAAAGCTGGCTCCGCCCCGCGCTGCCCAGGTCTGCACAGGGAGTGGGTCTTGCAGGGGCTGCAAGGAGCCCCCGGAAGTCGTAGAGTAAGGGTGTCTTTCTTTCTGGAGGCGACCCCTGACCTCAGCCCACGTCCCGGCAGGGTTCTTCGAGATGAAGGTGAAGTATGACGAGAGCGACAACGTCCTCATCCGGGCGTCCC